TTTAGAGATTCAAACGTTTTTTATTTACCTCTTCTCATTTTATTTTGTAAATATATTCCTATTATATTTGCTTTTCCAGAAGAAGTAGCTTCAAATTGGAATATACTCGATATACATATTTTTATCCCCAATTCCATCGTTTTATCATATCGCGCTTAAACTATCGAGCTCGTTCGTTCGTTCGTCGGTGGCAGTGGCAGCATCTACATGCCATATGGCATATGGCATATGTATGCTTCCGTGTTACTTTGTCGTGCAAACGTCGCCGGAAGTAAATTTGATAGAGCATCCGCTTATCCCTAGGAGATTGCAGTTCGCGCACAAAAGAGCGCGCCGAAGATAAAGATAGAACAATTGAACAACTCCAGAACACAATTCGTTAGCTATTGTTAGGCTCCCTCGAGCTTTAGCTAACTCGAATCTACAAATATACCTACCTACCCACCCGTAGCTTGTTATACGTTTTGGTTTTGTTGAACTTATTCGTTTCAATTGGTAAAATCGCATGCATTCTTTTGCTAAATTGAAAATCTTGTTTACGGCGAAAGTGTTATGAATTATGTAGTGTTGTTCACTATTTGACGATCCGGCTCGAATGGATCAAAAATACGACGTATGTTGTGACAAGATAGTGTCAGTAAATGTATAGAAGTTCGTGATCCACCGAGATGCTGCCGAACTCTATTAAATACACTTGCACTTTACTTATATTGTCGAAGGACCAGATATATTTAGATAGTGGCTATATCAGACCGATTAAAAGATAATCATAAATGTTTAATTATTGTATATTTGAATGAAATATTAAGACTTATAGATGATATGTTAGATGTTATTGCTTTGAATGTTGATTTAAGACTGATGTTAAATTATATGATATTTTAGTTAATACTAAATTATAATGATTTTACCATTTTATATGATTTTTCTGATTGGTTCGTTTTTGTGAGTTCAAATGACATCCCATTACAATTTTGACCAATCAGCTATTAACCGGTACGTGGAATTCAAGCGGGAACAGGTGATTAAAGATTCTTAGAAAAATGGATTAATGGTATGATGATAGATTTAGGATGCATGACAATGAGAAGGATTATTTAATAGTTCTAAATTATGTAATAAGGGATGAGGGTTTATTATTGCTATCCTGTATGAAGGTAATAAAATATAATAATACTATTCCATTAGAGTTGAGTAAGGCGTTAACAAGTGTTGCATTATCGCATTCGCTTATTCATTTTGAAACTCACATGGCAAAACGAAGCATGCGGTTTTCCATCAAGCATTGAGAACGACTGGAAACTATAGCCAAATCCCCTTGTCTTGTCGTTAAAGAGAAGAAAAGGCCTTATAATAATCATTAACAAATTATTGTCAGAGAATAGATAATCGCAATGAAACATTGTGGCTTTTATTCGTTGTCAAATTTGTCATTGATATATTTTTTGTTTTTCTGTATAGCAAATTTTTTTCTTGAGAATTGTACTTGACATTATGCAAAAATTCTTCAGAACGTTCTAATGAGCAGACTCGGTATAAACAATTCGAGGGTTAAATTGTTTGTTTTTTAATTGAAACTTTTTTCTAATTGAAATGTTTGGATTAAGAAATTACGATTGTTGAATGAACTTAACAACAAATATTGTCATTCTAAAATTAATTTTGTCGGTCATAGTATTCATGCAACCAGTTATAATTTTTATTTGTTGTTCAAATAGTTACATATTTACATGTAAGATATTTGAAACAGAATGAAATATATAAAGTTTAAAATTATTCCATAATAATAACGCAATCCAAAATTTTATGATCGTACAATTTTATATTACCTGTCAAAAATGACGGACCTACACAGTTTTGTTTATTGCGTATATATATATATATATATATCTTATATATAAAATTCTTCTGTAACAATGTAAGTTTCATATTTCCTCCTAAACTATAATTCGGATTTTCATGAATCTTCCTGAAGTTTGTTCGGGAAATTTTTTAGAATGTTTTGATTCATAGAAATATAGTTAAATTGTAGAAATAAATAGAAAAAATTACAAAAAACCGCTTATCATTGTTTGCCCTTGAAAATATTTGAAGCTTAGTTTGACATTAAAAACAATTGAGGACTGTCATTTGCCAAACATTTCTATTCACTTATAGGCTAAGGCAATATTAGAATATAATAAATTCATAATTATGAATAAGAAAAATGTAATGTCTACATTATTAATGCCGAAAAGCAGCTGAGATGTGCCAAAAATTAAATTAATATAAGATGCAAATAATATAACATGCATTTGACAAGTGATGCAGTCTGCGCATGCGTCTGACGTGCGCGTGGTTTGCTTTTGCTTGCAATAATTTTGTTTGCGCACTTTGCGAACAGATTCGCCGTACGAATTCGCGCAAAGGAGCGAGCCATAAGTGATTGCGCTCAAACATATTCAATTTGCAGTCGTTTTGCCTTACTATACTAAGTCACAATACAAAAAAAATTATTTAGAAGTTTCATTGTGTCAAAAATTCATATGTTTGTCATTGGGTACGGAATATTTACTCAATGGAGCGCTTTGGGTCTGAAGTTTTTACTATTTTCCAATTCGTTTGGAATTTTGGAACTAGGTTCATCTTACTCTTCAGAAGTGAAAACAATTTAGACTCCTTTACCACTTCTCGGGTGGATGACATTTCTTTTCAGTGGTGTAATTTTACTTTTTTCAAAATAACGTTGGGTATCGATAAAAGAACTAATTATACGAGAAAAATATTTAATAATGTTTTTCAAAAAAGGAAATATTTTTCAAGTTACTGGCTACTGAATATTTGTTTCTTTTTTGCGTTTTTCATCATTTGTTGCTAACACCTTCAAAAATATACATTTTAACGAAAATCATGTAATGAACAGAATTATATCAATTAAAATCTTAATAAATCGTTATTTTATAGTGTTTTAGGAACATTATTAGGTTAGATATGAAAATGGGTTTTTATAGTGCTCAAAATAAGCTTTAAAATGAGTACTTCTGCGTGTAAAATGAGTGAGCTATCATGCAGATAAAGGACGCATGCAATGTTTTTTTTTCATTTAAATCAAATACTTTGTGTGCCATATCCACCAAAATTAAAAATAATCGTATTCAATCTAGAATTAACTTGGTTTAAGAGATCTTGATGGATTCTAGAAAATACCGCAACTTTAGTACAAATGATTCTTAAAAAACTCATGATTTCATGAAAAAAAAAACATTTAAAAAAAACAACCAATTTCTCATCATAATACCTCTGAAAGAATACGTATAAAAGTATATATATAAGAAAATTCGAGGTATTTTTCTGAGTAATTATTATTGTTTATTATTTTTTCGTTACACAAATATTGATAGATGTATGATTAATTAAGGAGCTGTCCAACCAGAGGTCTTTCGAGCCCTTTAACCCTTCGCCGTTTTACAATAAGAGAAGTTACGGTAATGATAGAGAAAGTTGTAGCTCATTTAATCACCTTTAAAATAGTGTATTACAAGTTCTGATAAAATCAGAATTAAAAGAGTAATAATCCAATTAATGCTGTGGATGGTGACGGAGTGCAAATTGTTAAAAACATTGAAATTAAGATAAAGATTAGCCTATTTCCAAAATATCAAGTAAATTGGAGCACAGTAAAAAAAATTTACAGATCAATAATTTTGTTGATCGTAAGTTGAATAGAGCACATGTGAACAGGATTTGACAAATTAATTCACTTCAAATATAAACATAAGCAATAATGTATATTGATTTATTAGAGAAAAAAATGCAATTTAGATATTAAAATTACTTAAAGCCAGTTAAAATATGGTACAAAATTATAAAAATTATAGGCAACATTATTGAAGCAATTATTTTGGGTGATATTGCACCTTTGCCGCGTATGCTATATATTAATTCTTTCTGAATTTGTTGTACTTTTTGAAAGATTTCAATTTTCAACATGAGTATCTTATGCTATGACCATAAATCAAAAAGGCAGACGATCATTTTTAGTGTGATAAATTTGGAAAATCAATGTTTTAGTCGTGAATAAACAAAAAATCATTCATTTATACATCCACATCTACAGGTATGGCTAAAAATACTATATAACCCTTAAATGCAATAAAATAAATTGAGCTATTGGAAATAAATTTGTTCTATAAATCGCAGTGTATAATTTTTAATATACAATTTTATTGAACATTTTTTAATATTTGTTAAATAAATAATTAAAGTGTTAACTGTGGGAATTGAGAACAATCATTTTATTTGAAACAGTTCTACATTCAACATCACTTATATATTGGTATAAATAGTAATTCAAAAAACAGTAATTATTATTTTTAACTAAGCAGTAAATATTAGTATAAAATATTGAAAAATTGTAGACGTAGGTACAGAACAACGTCTGTCGGGTCAGCTAGTATATATATATAATATTAATTAATGGAAATCAATATTTCACTCAATTTGAATAAAATTGAATTTGACTCTTTTATTTTCTTCTAAATGACCAATTTGACTACCTCTTTCATTTTAAATAAATTGAGCAGAATTGCATTCATAATGAAATACGAAATCTTTCAAATTTGCATAAGAAAAAGCAAAGTTTTCTAAGTTTCTCATTCATAGCATTGCCGCTGATTATAAGAATGAAATAACTTTTAATGCTGTTATAACTTTAATGAGTTTACCGAGCGAATAAAATAATTTTGATGCGTTTTGAATTAACTATAAATGATGTTATTTAATTATCTCTCTTAAAATGCGGGGAGATAGAAAACCCGATGTATTAAATAATTGAATATATATTATTTTATAATATATATATATATATATATATATATATGTTATCTATTAATTTAAGTTATGTACCATTGATATCTACAATTGTACAATTGTGCTGTATAAATAAATAAATAAATAAATTATATATATTTGTGCAAAATTAAAAAGTTATATGTATTTTAACAATTTTTATTTATTTTCAGCTGCCTCAGTCCAAGATCAGCTTATTTTTACGAATTTCCACCAAGTGGTAAGTACTAAAATTCTTATATTTTTTAACTTGAATAAACCAATTTTGAATAGCTTGGCTATATTAACTTTGATAAATACTTACACATTTTTTTCTTTTTTTCTACAATGTACTTCGAAGTTAAATGGTTTATGCTATAGCTAATTAAATTTATATTAAATAAATGCTTGCAAGTTCATATAATTGTATTTATGTTACCATTAATAAAATAAATAAATAACGATTTTTGAAAATTAGGTAAAATGCTTAAGTGAACGAATCAAAAATTATATACTATGGAGAAGTCACGGTATTTTCTTGAAATAAAGTATATAAAACGTAGTCACTTTCTCAACTAATAACATATTTAAGTAAATATAGAAAACCATTTATTCATTATTTTAAGGATTTTATATTTTGCGGATATTAAATGTTTTCATTACGTTTCTAAAAATTAAATGCTCGATTTAGAGTCATCAAAATTATATAAAAACATTTACAAAGCATTATTATAGCTGCAAGTTATTAAAAATGATGCTTGAATTATAACTAGTGATTAATGACGCATTTCAAATATTTTTATTATTCCATAGGTACATTTTCACTTTACTAATTCTGATATAATATACCATTATAGTATCATCAATCTACTTTACGATACTAGTTCAAATTTCAAATTTATTTGCTCTAATGTTACTGATACGCATTTTTATAAACGCTGCATCACGTTAAATAATCATTATAATGATATAGAACACGAGAATATGATTTAATTTTAATTTTTGTTACACAATATAACGCCTTTTTTCAAAATAACGATACCATGAGATATATATATATATATATATATATATATATATATATATATATAATGACGGAGCAAAATCCTATTTGGCGTAAGCTCGTTGTAAGCTCCGTCCAGCGGAGCTCCGAACCCTCTGCGAGCTTTCGCACACATCTCGCCCGCTAGCGGCGAACTAATAATACAACTTTGTTCAATAAAAACAAACCCGGGAGCTTTTGTTTTCTTCCGGCACTTAGAGCAGCGCACTTGTAATGAAGAGCTTTTTTATCAGACGGCTTTTTTCTATCGGTGCACACGTGTGTTAGAGTTGTACATCGGTGTGGGTGCAAATACGTCTGCCTCTGGGAGTGTGAAGTCAGAAACTCATTAATGTTGGAGTGTTTTCAATTTGGGCAGCTTTTGCTGATGTCGATAGAATATTTACACGAAGCTTTTTATAAATTAATTTTAAGCTAAGCTTTTATTCTAGGTTTTTTGATAGTGAAACTTACATTTCATTTTATACTCTCTTGATTTTTTAAATGTATTTGTATTACGTATATATGCCAATGCTCATTCATAAATATAATATAAATTAGGGTGGTCCTTAATATGGACGTTTTCGAATTTTCTTACTCCCAGGGGCTCAAATGATTCCAAATTGATAAAAAAATCCTCTATAAGTTTTAGCTCTTAAAATGGTCTTTTAGATAGTGCGCAAATTCAATCAAAATTTTGTATGGTAATAGCATAGGAAAATTTTTAAAAAATTTGAAAATGTTTTTTAGATATAACTTAGCAAACAAATGAATGAATTTTATTCAAAATTCGACGCTCTACAAAACAAATTATAAAAAACCTGTTTTGCAGAGCGTCGAATTTTTAATAGAAGATGACACGGACTGTCAGTTTTAATCTTTTAATTCATTTGTAGCTAAGTTATACCCAAAAAACATTTTTAAAATTTTCGAAATTTTTTCCATGCTATTTCAATACGAAACTTTGATTGAATTGCGCACCATCTAGAGAATTTTTTTTATGAATTGGAGCAATAAAATTCGAAAATGTTTATATTAATATATATACAGGGTGTACGAAAACTCAACATCAAGCCGAAGAAAAAAAATTTCATTCAACCGATAGCTTTGTTAAATATGTTACCATTTTCCAGTTATTGTGGTTGATTTTTATTAATTCATTATTATTAAAGTTTATTAAATTTTTGTAACTATTACTGCGAATAACACTTCTGGAACTACAGTAAAAAATAATGACACTATTGCCTCAAGTTTTTGACTTTGAGAGGCCCTTCCTTAAAAAAGTGCATAAATGCAGGCAAATTCCATCAAAAGTTGGCGCATTTAATCAGGATCTCGAAATAGTAAAATTCTTGACAGTTTCATAGTTAAAAAAAAATAGAGAAAAAATAAAAACCTAAAATTTACACGATAACGACTAACACATTTCGCTCACATTCATTTCAAATATTTCTGTCTCGCACATTGAGCTTCACATACATATTGTTAGATTTTAATTTTTTTACTCCATATTTTTATTATAAATCTATCAAGTATTTCAATTCATTACTGTTTCAGGTGAAGTAACAAAAGTTAATCTTGTAATAAATAAATAGATGGTTTTGATCTTACAAGCAAATTTCCGATCTTTTTCTTTTTTTATAGTATTTTACTCATTTTTGTTGATTTTATAATGTTTTGCAAAGTCAATTGAGTTTCATATATGTTTTAATCTTCATTTTCAGATTGTTCAAGAGAAGGTGGCAAAAAACGCATGACTTTAGCTAGATTGTTAAGGGGATTAAAAACATCTCACAGAAAAGATAGGGCGGCGACGGCACACAAGGTATGTAATACTTGATTTTATGTAAGTAGAACCATGTTCATACATATAGTAAATTTATTATTTGTTTTTTTTTTCTATAATCGATACATATCCTAAACAATAACACAAATGCAAACTATTTTTAAAAATATGATTCGAAGAATTTAAGAGTAGCTCATTGGGAGGTAGTAAAGTTTTTCGAGCAGTTTAGTTTACCTATCTTTAATTATTAAAGTCTAAGATGTTTTTCTTCGATTAACAATTTTGTTTCGTAAACACAAAGTAATAGTTATTCGAGAACACAATTAAAACTATAAGAATGATTCTTTAATTAAAAACCGCATTAAACATACTTAGAGTTGTTCAAAAAGTCGTACCAAAACAGCAAAATCCTTGGAAAGTGCATCGCAAGTATTTGCTGCGCGCGTTCAGTTTAGTCAGGAAACAAAAGCGAAACTTTAACGACTTCGTTGTTAAATGTTTACTAGTGGAAAAGTGCACAACGCGAACGGCGTGAAAATGTTCAGAACATAAATCTAAAGTTAACAGAGGATAGACAATTGACAAAAATCGTTACTGGCGGGCATCAGCAATTTGCCGAATAGTCATGTAATGGAAAATTTACTAATTGAATTCCATGAACAGGATTATTTTGCGTCGGTAATATGTTCACATCTTTGGTATCTTTACAGAAAAGAGACAATTTTTAAATATTTTAGAGTTTTCTATTTTTAATTATTTAAAAGGTGTGTTCACCACAAAGTAATGAGACTTTTATAAATAAATGAACGGTTTGTTCTTATATTTTCAAAAAATATTATTTTCGCTCGAAATAATTTTCACACGTATCCTAAAAGACGTGCAAGATTTTAGGAACGCAAATAGTCTTTCAAACACATTGACAGTGAGTTTGAGAAAATTTGTGTTAATTGTAAATGGACCCGATATTTCGAATATCTTACTTACGCGATAAAACATACAGTTAAAAATGATGTATTTTTGAAACATTCAACTAAATCATTTAATTTTGTCAATTCAATTTAAAATATTCGGACCAAATAAATGTATATAGGGAAGACCGGATACAGTTGTGCCAGGGTACGGTAGTGACAGTCGTCGTTACAGCTGAAGTATATTGATTTCGAGATAGGATCCAAAGGGAAAAATGAAGTATGGTTGTTCGAACATGTTAAAGAGTCAAAAGTAAGTTTCCATGTTCGGATACAATTCTTTAATAACCGTTAATTATATACAGATAGATAACTTTGTTTGTTATTTACTAGCAATTAGTTTTTGCTTACGAGCAACGAGCACAGCTATGAGGATATATCGATAAGAGACACTACTTTCCAACTTTAATTAATTTTTATAATTAAACCACTTCTCATAGGCCTATAATATTTTACAAGGTTCGATTTGACTATCAACTCTATTACCATGCGAAGTAGCATCAAAATCCCAGAAGAGTAAACCTGAGGGTTCTTTTGTTAGATAATTTAGCTTACTCATAATGATGAGCTGATAATTTCAACCTATTTTTATGCCTGAAATCCCGAGGGACAGTTGTGACACTCCCTTTTTCTTGTATGATTTGATTTTATAACAAATCCATTTTAAGGGCAGTATAAGATTTTTACGTGAACGTATGTTCAAATCATAATTTAATTTACTCCTCGCCAAATAAATTAGTAGTTATTTTTTACCCAGGTAAATTATTTAACAGTAATTTAAGGGGGTATTTTAGTGAAGAGCGATGAATTTTAGGTAATTTTTAGTCGCAAAATAAAGCAATGAATGTTTTTACTACCACTTGTTTATTAATATTATTAAAATACAATACAAAAATTAAAAAAAAGTTGAAAATTGAAGAAACTAGCAGCTGATGAAGAGGGGGCTGTCAAAAAATTGGCACCTCAGTCTTGACATGATTTCAGCCCTCCTAGCCATCCGAAATAAAAGAAATAAAAAGATTATTAATGATGTCGCAATTGCCCGCACTACCGATGAGTAAAAAAATATTTTTTTTACAAATTGGCGACTGTTTGAAAAAAAGTGTTTTTCTACTGTTTTTTTGAGTTTCTCGAATTTTTTAAAAACAGTAAAAATTGGTATTTGGGGATAATCCTAGTTCGGGCTATAGATAGGTCTATAAACAAGACTCTCTGAACATTTCAAGTGAATCGGTCGAGTAGAACTCGAGAAATCGTGTCAACAGTACTGAAAAAGTCTGTTCTGAGAAAAACGCATTCAAAGTTTTGCGTGAAGCCAAACCAGTATGAAGACCGAGTCAGTAAAATGCCTATATCTCCGAAAATAATCAAAATCAAAATCAAAAACCTTCTCGTACCCATATTCTTAGATAGTTAAACTTCGAAAATATGAAATGAAAAAAATCGATTTTTTTGAATTTCTACACTAGAATACCCCCGTAACAAAATTATTGCTGATCAAAAAATGGCACAAAATGGCTATTATAACTGTCGAATTTGATTAGTTATTTTAAATGTTGAATACGAAAACTTTTCTATAAAATGAATGTATCTATAAATTCACAATTTTAATTAAAAATAATCACGAATATATCAGTTCCAGGATTGCGCAAAAATAAGTTAAAACCGGATTATGAGAGTTTCACAAGAAATTCATAAGCAAATAATGTTTTTATGAATTATTTGTGGTTATTACAAGTACTCAGTTTCGGTGTATTATTTGCAATAAATATTAGTAAATATCCAACATGTGACATATTGGATTTTTTTCTATATTGCACTGGTTGCTTAATTATTTGAGGGCTCTTCTGTCCTTTATGGGGGTGGGTCAGCCGTCGCCTGCCAGAGTCTGCGACATTCCTGTTTATTTGCTGCGGCAACAAGGTACAGTGTCGGCGAGCATTTGTTCACCTTTACGACCTTCATTACTCCATAAAGCATGCGCCTGCACAGACGAGAGTATCCCGTTGTTGCTCTTTCGGGACTACTTACCATTTCGCAGAATCCCAGAAACGGCAAAAGCAGAGACCATTCCGAGCATATACGGCGGACTCGTAAAATCACATGTACCTACGCGTAGAGTCCGCGCCCTCCAAGGGTTATTACCGTCGCGGGCTGCTACGGAACTGCGTTCCACTACGAAGGAATCCCTTATCAAATTATCCTACGAGAGCAGTTGAAATAATATAAATATCTCAATGTGAGCGCCTATAATAGTCTTGATTGTCCAGTTTCTTTATTTTTATAAGAATTTAGTGTTGACTTTTAGTTTGGTCCAAAAAATTACTTAGGATCATTTTTTTCGCTGCAGTGTTTTTTTTTATACAAATTCTACCTAATCCTTTCGCTACAAGAGTTTTTTCTGCAGGAGTGTCGCTGCTGTACGGGAATAGCGTGCCGCTCAGTAGCACTACTTGAACGGACAGGCATAGCGATATATTTTAAGATTTTTTTATTTTTGTCAATACAAACGTATTAAAAAATTGAAAGATGCGCTTTTAATAAACTAAAAATTACAATGAAAATTAGAGTGACCGATAGTTTAACTCATAGTGATGAATATTGAAGCGTATTCCGACACACCATGTCGTTCATGGACGACATCCGTACACACAACATGTTATGCGATCATTAATGCTGATATATTTAGATATTGCTCTATTAAAACTGTAGACTTTTTTCTTTGCCAACTTTTGTTTACTAATGATAATAGGTTTTATAAATGAATAAAACCTAATCGGTATAGCCATAAAATTGGTAAATAATTATAAAAGTTTGTTCAAGTTGAATTTGAATTATCTTTTTTTTCTAACAGCAAACAGATTTTACGAGTTCTATGAGCTGTCGTAATGAACCTTTTCTTAGAATCGTCGCTTTTAGGTAGCAACCCAACGGTTCACCTATTTATATTTGAAATAATTTTATCATTGGAATGTTTATAATAGTGATGATATGTTTTTAATCTGCTGCAGCAATGCCGGCTAACTAAAAATTACAATAATTACCAATAGTTTAGCTCTAAATTATGAATCTTTAAAGCGAAGTCCAACACAGAGCATGTCGTCCATGGACGACATCCGTACTCACAGCACATTATGCGATAATTCATGCTGATATATTTGGATATTGCTCTATTTAAACTGTAGCAATTTACAAGATTTTCCATTGGCTAAGGACTTTTTCTTTTTGTTTACTAATGACAATAAGTTTTAATATTGATTATCGTAAAATCTAATTGGTACAGCCATAAAATTGTAAAATAATAATAATAATTATAGAATTTTGTTGAAGTTGAATTTGAATTTTTTTTTTCTAACAGCAAACAAAATTCACGAGTTCAATGAGCTGTCGCGATGAACCTTTTCTTAGAATCGTCGCTTTTAGACAGCAACCCGACGGTTGACCTATTTATATTTGAAATAGTTTCATCATTAGAATGTTTCTAATAGTGATATGTTTTTAATCTACTGCAGCAATGTCGGCTAACTGAAAATTACAATAATTACCAATAGTTTAGCTCATAATTATGAATCTTTAAAGCGAAGTCCAACACAGAGCATGTCGTCCATGGACGACATCCGTATTCACAGCACATTATGCGGTAATTAATGCTGATGTTCTTAGATATTGCTCTAATAAAACTGTAGTAATTTATAAGATTTTCCATTGGCTAAGGATAATTTTACTTGTAAACATATTCAGATCTATATTTTCAAGTCAAAATCAATAATTCTTATTATTATCACACTGTGGTAGCAATTCTAAAGCTCTTACTACTCTTGTTAGGCAAACAATAATTTTGATAAAATAATTAATAATAATACATATAATTGAACGTGATTGCAATATTACATTATAATATAGTAAATAAGTGAATCTGTTGTTCAATTTTGTGATGCTTTTTGTTTGAAATCGAATTCTGATTGGTAAATATGGAATTATTAACTTCCCGTAGGGTAAGTTATTGTAATGGGCCGAAAATCGGAATTGAAAATTTTTACATTTCTCGACGTTTTGAAGGTTTCTGAACGT